TGGGGAAAGGACAGAGGAGGCAGAACTGAAAAATGGCATGACTTATCCAGTAACTCAGAGGGGAGTATTTTCATTTGCTTTCACTTAAAAAAAAAAGAGTAAGTAATGGGGACAGCAAGAAGTCAATTATCAAGAGAGGCTAAACCTAGAGAAAAGTAATGTTTATCTAAAAGCCTTGAGTAGAAAAGGGGGTGGGGAGATTTTTGCNCAGAGAAAAGTAATATTTATCTAAAAGCCTTGAGTAGAGAAGGGGGTGGGGAGATTTTTGCTCTTTCCTGGGAATTGCTGGTAATGACAGGGTCAATGCTTAAATAATGAAGACAAAATCCCAGAAACCCAATTGGTCAAAACTCCTTTTGGGATTTTTTTGGGGGGCATAATTCTTCTTTTATGTATATAAGCTTTAAACTTATGTGGAACTAAGTAGGTAGAAAAAAATTCTCTTTGCACAGACTTCTCCAATAAGGAATAATTAAATTTTTGATAATCAAAAGGTATTTAACACAANATATTTAACACAAGACATTCTCCGGATTAAATGTCAGTTTTGCACATGGAACAAGAGAAAATATTGGTCTAATTGTCTAATTGTATTGAAACTACTGTCTGTGCTTACTGCACGATTTTTCATGTTAAAATACTGATATTATTTGCTGTGTTGTGTCATGTAGTCTCATTCAGAAATTGTTTTCTTGTCTCCCCAATTTTGCTGTGAGCTTTGGATGAGCAGAGATTCTTTCTTGTGGCTTTTCTCTTCTGGAGTACCCAGCACAGTTCTAGACACATACTGAGTGCTTCATTCATTCTTGTTGATTGATGTGGATCCTGGAGGTGCCACCTCCGGTCACTCTGCCTGATGTTCTGAGATCAGAGGCACGGCCTTCTTTGCTGGGGGGAAGAATCTTCTTTCTCTTTCTTCGTTCCCCCTCATCATAAGAAGACCTCATGAAGACGGCAGGTGTTTCTAGCTTTCCTCTATAAGCATGGACTTGTCATGTTCTGTTTCAGTATTCTATGGTTGCCTTTGTTTGTTTAAAATCACTAACAGTTTCTCCCTAGGAATACATTTTTATTAAGATGTCCCGTGCTTGCACATTAAAATGTTAGCATAATCTAATTATGAGCCAAATGAGGCACAGCAGCATTTACATCACTTGATAAATTTCCATCATTTGCAGGGGACGGGTGACTTGAACCCAAGCACTTCATGACAGCAGTGATGTAACAAACATTCTGTAGCTCTGTACAGCAGAAGCTCGTGGGTGGAGGTACCTCCTTTTATTTGGTAGCTGCAACCCAGTTTTGAATATGAACACAAAAAAATCTCCTTAGCTTTAGATCTGGTTGTAAAGGAAGGTACCACGAGATCACTTTAGACCAGGGAAAAGGCCAAAGGACTTGGTTTAGACAGCATTGGTCAGGATTCCTTTCCAGTTTCTCCCTGGTCTCACTGATTTTTCTTTCAGAAAAAAACTTCAGGGGCACAAGAATAAATAGACCCAAACTTAAATATTATGCACGTGATTCAAAGGAATAAGAAGAGGGGTGGTTCGCAATCAAAGTTTTGAATATGGGCCTTTTGTTTGGATGCATACATTTCCCCATCATTTAAAAAACCTATTTGAGGATGATGAGAAATGGAATGAGCTTTCCCCCATTCATTAAAAAAAATTTTTTTTTTGGTAAAAATTTAAATGAGAGACTGAAATTTTTTTATAGTTGGAAACCAGGAGTGTATGAGGCCAAAGGCCTGGTTTGTTCTTTTAAGCCACTCGCAGGTCCGAAAGCAGAGTGAACAGATCAGCTCTCTAGAAACCAGAGGAAGTGGCTTTTTTGGTTTCCTCAGTCTTTAGGGAAAAGCTTTCTTACCTTAATATGATTTCTGTGTCTCATTCACACTCCATTTAGTGTTATGAAATAACAGGATACAAAAGGATGGGAAAGAAAACGAACTCGCCCTTTTTTGGCTTCCTAAGAATTCTGACCCTGAAAACATTACTGTAACCTTAGAAAACAAGAAGGGGGAGGGGGAGCATGAACACAGTGGCAACCGCAGTGACATATGAGGGACACTGATGGGGGCTGAGGGGACAAGGTGGGGAACCAGGATGTTTGGTGTTCATGTGGCTGCAGAGCCAAAGGGAATAAAGTGCTCCCAGAGGGAGACTGGAGAAGAATGTTAGGGCAGGTTAAGGTGAATTGGTATGCTTGGCTTGTTACAGGTGAGGAGTGGAAACGCAATGAACAGAAACAGCATTGCAACAGCTAGATAAAGAAATCAGAATTTTTTCAGGGTTGAAAAGAAGGTCATGCAATTCCTGCTTGGAAAATGAGGGCCCAACAGTATCAAGGCACCATAAAAAGAAGATGGAATATATACCAACATTGCCTTTGTCCTGAATAATAAAGCCTCGCATTGGTTTGGAAGCAGTTGACTAATGAAGGGACAAAAACAGAAGGAAGCACCTCTGGTTGCTTCCTAAATGTAATAAAAAAACTAAACAGCGGTGGCCAGTGTGGCTTAGTTGGTTGGAGCATCATTCCATACACCGGAAGGTTGTGGGGTTGATTCCTGGTCAGGGCACATTCCTGGTCAGGTTGCAAGTTTGATCTCTGGTTGGGGTGCTTATGGTAGGCAACTGATCAACTTTTTTTCTCGCATCGATGTTTCTCTCTCTCTCTCTCTCTCTTTCTCTCTCTTCTTTCCTCTTTCTCTAAAATCAATAAAAGCATGTCCTGTGATGACAATTAAAAAATCCTAAACAAGCCAAGGATGTGAGGATGAGATTTTAATCCTGCAGTGCGTTTCCACCTTCCATGTTAGAACTTCTGCTGTGTCTTGATCTTCATTTCTTTATACTTATACTTTTTATTTCCCCAAATTTGTGAGAACATGGCATATTACTCATTTTTTATATCTCCCCACAGTTCTGAGAGTAAAGTATTCAATGAATACTTGATTATTGAAGCATAAAAGGTATTAAGAACTCTGCTGAAATCTTTTCTTTTTTTTTCAGTTTAATGAACATTAATACCCTGAATTTATACCCTATAATATCTAGCTAAAAATGACTTCTTTATTCTTACTCTATCATTGCAAAGTCATTCTAACTATACAATCCTTTAAAGGCTTTTCACTTGTTTATCCAAAAGAAGAAGAATGAAATACATAGCCGATTATTTAAAAAATTTTGATGAAAATAATTTCTCAATGGCTTGCTGTCCTATTTTATCCACCAAAATTACTTTTACAAGGAGTTGAAGAGGGTGGGGAAAAGGTATTATGTCTACTTTTCCCCTACCAGCTGGGTGCATAGTTCTTGGCCTCTGTGTTCATCAAAGAGTAAGCAGATTTGAGATCCTCTGAGATCACACATAATTTAAAAACTTGCTATTCATGCTTCAGTGATAAAGTCGGAAATAAGACCCTGGCGGAACACCAAACCAAAGGAAATCAGCAGACCGTAAATGGGAGCGCCAGGGACCAAACCTTTCTCATTAGGCTAGGCTTCTTGATCCATTTACTCAGGCTCATATTATCCTGTGTATTTCCCTCACAGATTATACATCCATGCCATTCAGATTCCTGTCCTCTAACATTGGGCAGAAATGACCTGTTACATGGTGGAAAGAGGTACAATGAATGTATATACAATATTAAAAGCTTTTGTTGTCTAATATTTATAAAGTGCAATGAAATAATTTTAGAGGAGCTTCAAACAGGATGACAAGTGCACACACGATATTTTATTTTATGACTGAAATTTCAAATGGTCCCCACTGCATTAAATGAGAAGCAGAAGCTTCTGGTACAAATGATTGGCATCTGGCTCTGGGCTGCTTTTGGAGCCATCACTTTTATGATTGTGAGATAGGAAGACTTGGCTAACATTTACTCCCAGCCCTAAATTCTTCAGTGCCTGCATTGAAGGCTCCAAGAAAAATCTAAATTTAGTTCTCATGATCAGATTAAACTTAAAATCCCAAGCATTTCTTATTTGGTGACAAACAAAACTAGCAACCTCCTTCGCCCCCTCCCCCATCCCAAATACATTCCTGATTTTCCTTAGGGTCAATGGGGAAAAAATAGTCGATAAAATTTAACTAAAAGCTATAAGCTTTTTTTTTTTTTAGAGTCGACAGCCTTTTTTTTTT